GTTCTTGAAAATAGATAAATCTTAATTAGGAGCACCGGGTTTTTCCTGAGAAATCATTTTAAATCTTTGTAACCCAAGCATTTCACCTCTGAACGCTCTTGGATTGCCCCCCCCCCACTCCCCACATGGAGGACACCTTCATCCAACTGTAACAGTCAACGTCCTCAGCGTGGGTGCCCAAGGAAGTGCTGTCCTGTTCAGAATGTCCCTGTCCAAAAACCCAGATCAGATTCGGATTCGGGTCCTCCCAAAGTCCTAGGAGCACTGGGCCCGTGGGGCGAGCACTATCAGAGCCCCAACTGCCCTTCTCCTTCTTCCATGTGGCCGACTCCAGCCAGGAAAGACGCATGGCCACCGAGCCTGCCTTCTTCCCAGTGGCTCAGAGACCCTGGGGGACGGCCTTCCTGGGCCAGCAGAGAGCCACAGTTGGTGCCATCCTTGGACCTGAGAGCCCAGCCACCACAGAGTGGCAGAGGTGCCACCTCTTATCACCGAATGCCCCTGGATCCCCCAGGAGCCATGCCAGGGTGCATGAGGGAGGACAGTCAGGACCAGCAGGCACAGGTTCTTTGGGTCATGGTGATCGAAATCACATCAATGGTACCTTCTCTGCATTTCTATGGAGAAAGAGAAAGCATCCTCTAACTGCTTTTCCCCTGCAGATAGAGCAGAACCCAGCCAGACTGTAAGGGAGCCCAAACTGTCTCGTCGCTTAAAGAGTGTTCTCTGGGACACTGGAGCTGGGGGGCCCCCAGGAGATGTTGGGCTCAGGCTCCCGCTGCCCCTCAGCCGTCTGCATCAGCTCAGCTGCCCAGCTGCCTGCCTTTGGACCCAGCATCTTGTCTTGGCCGCGGACACTGGAGCGGATCCATGTCTAAGTGGGCATTTTATCTAGGCAACGTCTCCCCTGTCCACTGCACGAGGCGTTCCCCTTTGATACTGAGAATAGAGGGCCTGAGCAAAGCAGCCTTTATGTGATCTATGGCAAAAAGTCTCTCTCGTGATCCTGCGCTAGATGACCTTGATTCTGAGCCTGGTTTGTTCTCCTGGCTTTTCAAGCTGCATTCACAGGTTGGCCTCTTGCGTCACTCCTGGGACTTCCAGTCTCCTCCTCTGATGGCAAAGCATTCCGACAGAGAGCGAGGCCCTGTCCCCAGATGAATCGGTGGGGAACGTAATACGGGTGATTAAAACATAAATCACTTAAGCCTAATGTAGTCCGGTCTGCTCAGTAATCTACTGCACTGAAGGGCTAAACATCTTGAATTTAATAACACACTTATTAAGGATTCATTTCACCAGAGTTATAATCACGTCTTCGTGGTGCTTTCCTGTTCCTTGCCGCTCTGGTTGTTCAAGGCACTCCTAATTGATCATAATTATTTTAATGTGGCTATTTCAGAATAATTTTTATTCATTTCTGAAATACATCCTTGGGAAGCAGCCTCTGGTCCTCTGGGTGCCTTTTTCTTGAGATGAATAGTGATACTGATTTCCACACCTCTCGAGATGTGGGTGACGGACTTGAGTGAGACGCAGTTCCCGTGCGGCTCTGCCTGGGTCCTGGCTTACACGGTGACAATGGCCTTCTGACTATTTCCTCTGTCACCTGTTCCTTTAGGTTCCAATTCAGCTTCCCTCCGCTGCCACATGGTGATATCCCTAAGAAGCAAATCTGAGGCGTGCTGATCAGGAACCGTGTCAAAGAATCGGACCACGCTCATCAGAACCGACCCTCCCTCTCCGGGTCTCACTCATTGTTTTCTAGCCCCCTGCCGATCACGCGTCTTCTGTCTACTCTGTTCTTAGCATCAGTATTTATTTTCTCCCCACTTCCGGGGTGAGCTCCCCGAGTCTGTATTCCTATCTACTCCGTGTGCTGATGTGGCCTCGGTGTCTGTTACAAAGTGAGCGCTCAGAGCCTACCGTGGAACGGACCTCGGTGATTTCCCGTTTTCAGAGTCTGGTCCTCTTCCCTCTAGTGATAGGAGGGGACTCAGGTGCCTATGAGGCCTGTCCAAAGCTCGGGTGAGCTGCTTCGACCCTCCGGCTCTCCAGGTCTCCCTATGACCTAATGCACTGACTCGCACGATCCACGGGGTCCCTGACTCCTAGATGTGCCAGGTGTGTCCAGCAGATCTCTGGGGTTACTTCGTCCTGCCAGGATGTAATTCCCCCCCCCTTGCCCATGCAGGGAGGAGACCCCTTGCTCGTTCAAACCTAAGCCAATGGGACCACCCCCCATTTGGGACCGCTGCCTGGCACGTGGTCACAGTTCCATATACATTGGTAGGATGAAGGAATCTCCCCATCTTCTCCAGCACTGAGGCAGAATTCGTTGCTGTCTCCACTTTGCCTTCATTCGGTTATTATTATTACTTATTGTCACCGGTCCTCTTTGGTTACATTAAGATTCATTTTGACATAATTATAAAAGCATGGAATACACTTTGTTCTCATTCAGCCCCAGTGAGTCCCCTTTCCGGGCCCTCCTCCCTCCCCCGAGTCCCCTCCCTCTACCCCACTGGTCGTCCCTCTTGGGCTTTGCCTCGCTGCCCCTGTTGAGGCTGATGCGCTGTGAACTCCTGGGTCCCCTTGAGGCCTCTCTGTTCAGTCCTTCTGTTCGTCTCCCCCAGAAGTGCTCACAGCGTCTGGTGCAGAATCACGCAGTCACTCCATCCATGATGGAGGAGACGAGCTGTCGGTGCATCAGACCACACTCCACCGTCCCCACCGTCCCCGTCTTATGAGGGCTGCCCTTAGGATTCTTCAGCTCACCTGGGGTGGACAGAGTGCCTTGCACGCACTGGAAATTGTATTTCAAATTTCAGACTCAGGCCTTTCCCCGGCTCCTGAGATGTGACCAGATCCTCCCTCCAGATGCTGGGCAGCTGCAGCGACCCCGGCTCCCATGGCCCCACTTTCCCCGGGGGGAACCACCCGTGCCCTGCAGGGTGCTGTACGGATGCCCAGGATGCTCAGCACGTTGGGTGGAGTCCGTGGGGTTTCAGCTCAGGGTGTCTGAATTCACAGTGCGTTTGCCATCTGAGGTCAGGAACATCTGCAGTCATTGTCATCGTCCTCGCATCTGCCCAGATCATCGCCGAGCTCAACCCCCAGCCTGTGCCCCCTCCTGTGTTCTTCGTCTCAGGATGAAGGGGGCCTTGCCACTGATGTGCACCTGGCAACCAGGAGTGATCTGCTTCCTGTCCTGCAGGTCACTGGGTCCTAAGTCACATGCATGGACTTTGCTTCTGCCCCTCCTCCAAGTCCTTCTACTTCCTCTCAAACCTACTGTCAAGAGCCTTTGTCAACCTGTCACCATCTGTCACCAACACAACTGCCACCTCAGGCTGCCTGGCACGTGGTCACCGTTCCATATAGATTGGTAGGATGAAGGAATCTCCCAAGTTAAAAGCATTTTTTTTTGTGTAATAACAGGGGCCACAGATTGAGCTTTCACGGACTGCAAATGTTGCAAAAGTCCAGATTTTTCTGAAGGACAGGATCTGAGGCCAAACACGGTGGTTTTTGAATTTGCCACAGCTTTAGATGTAATTTTGCTTTCTGGAAAGTTGACTTCTTTCCACCCCCTTGATTTTGCCAAGGAAGTTATTTTCTCTGATTAGTCTTGCCTTAGAAATTCAAGTCAGGGTACATTTTGCTCACTGGAAGATGCAAATACTCATGAAAGAATTTGTTTTATTTTATGTTGCAAGAAGTGTTGGGCCGATAGTGGCCTTCAAGAAAGTGTCCACAGTGTTTCCTTAAGAAATACTGAAAGTCTGAAACATCCTGTGTTAGCTTTCTGTTCCTGTAACAAAATACCAGAGATATTCAACTTATAAATAAGAAAGGTTTCTTTTGGCTAGGTGTTTGGGAAGTTTCCGTGACTGATTGGGCCCATTGCTTTGGGTTGGTAGTGAAGCAGCACCTTCTGGTGGGGAGTGCATGGTGGAGTAAACTGTTTGCCTCCTGGGAGGGAAGCAAAAGGAACAGAGGAGACTAGGCCACACCCCCAGTGACCTAGGACCTTTCATTAGGTCCCACCTCTTAAAGGGTCTACCACCTCCCAGTAGTGCAACAGGTTATGGACCAAGCCTTTCACACATGGTTCTTTGGGGGACAGTCCAGATCCTGCACTCTGCAAATGCTGTGTCATTGAGAACAGTCTAGATGCTCCCTCCAAATACTCCCAGCTCTCGATTTCTTAGAAGATTTTTGAAAGCACATCTACAGGGAAAAAAAAAAGAAAAGACCTAAGAGGAAGTTGTAAAATCTGATGGAAGTGTGCATGATTCTAAAGTTGGTCAGTGCCCTTAAGATAGATAGTAAGTGTGCTGTACAGAATTCAGTGCTCCTCGGGGCCTTGGTAGAGCAGGCGGGAGGGAAGTGGAGAGCCGTGTGTGGCGGAGATGTCAGCACGGGGACAGACCCTTGATAAAACAATCTCCTTTCTTCTCACCAAGGTTATATGATCGCATCTGCCAAGTCTAAGCTGAGAAATTGCTGACCTCATTTGACTCTTGGGATGGTCTTTCCTTGCCTTTTAGGTGGGGTCTCTTACAGGTCCCCCTCCTCCTCCCCCTCCCCCTAAGTGAGGTTGGGCGGATCTGGTTGGGGGAGCAGGTGCAGTGACACACCCTCTCATCCCAGTTGCTTTGGAGGCTGAGGCAGGAGGCTCAAGGAGGCCAGGCCAGCCTGTGTAACATAGCGAGACCCCCATCCCTTACTTAGGAATGAATGGGTGCATGCACGGATGGATGGATGGATGGATGGATCTGGTCGGCAGGCTCTGCGACTCTCGGCTTTGGCTGACTGTCCCCAGCCGTTAGAACACAGTGGTATGACTTCCATTCCAAAAGGCAAACGGAGCGGGAGCCACGTGGTTCCTGTTATCTGTAACCATGGAAAACGCTGGCCATCTGTGAGGCTCCCATTTTAACACTTTTTTTTCTCTCTCCCCTCTGTGTTTCCGTCTCTTCCTTGGGAAAAACAAGCTGAGGAGGTGGAGAGGCTGGCGGCGATGCGTTCCGACTCCCTGGTCCCAGGTACCCACACCCCACCCATCCGGAGGAGGAGTAAGTTTGCCAACCTGGGCAGGATCTTCAAGCCCTGGAAGTGGAGGAAGAAGAAGAGCGAGAAGTTCAAGCACACGTCGGCAGGTAGGGTGATGGCGTCCTCTGGCTCCACTGGGCGTCCCCTGGATTCAAACCCTGGGTCTTCCTGGTCGGATTTCATGATCGGAAGCTGAACAAAGAGAAAACTCAAGGCTCAGGGTGGCCCTGGTCTTTGGTGGTTGCTCAGTGTGACTGAGAGTGGCCCTGACAGCCTGTGTCTTCTCAAATCTCACGGGATTCTGTTGTTGATATTGCCTTTTGATTTAAAAACCATCATTTTATTGGATCTATAAATGATGGGAACTTAGAGCTCCACCTTTTCTCTGATGGAACGCGGGCCGTCTCCCGCTGACAGTCCGTTTCCTATCATTCATTCTGTTTTTGCTGCTCGGGTGTAAGTCAGCTGCCGGCACAAAATGAGTTATGTACGCTCTTTGGCAGATGAGAGTAAGTTATTTCATGGAGGAAAAATCTTGAATAAATGATTCCTAGACGAGGCAGGAGAACAAAGAGTGGAAGGGAATCGTCATTGGGGTGATCAAGGTAGCTGTGCAGTTCTCAGTGGGGTGAACAGCAAGGGAGTGTGGGAGGGTCAGCAAGATTGAGGGCTGGTCAGTCCTGGGGTCAGACTGCCCGGGTTCAAATCCCAGCTCTGACACCTGCTAGTTTGATAGCTTGCTCAGTTTATTGAACTCTGTGTCTCAGTTTCTCATCTCTGAAACAGAGCTAAGAATTAACTGCTTACAGGAGTTAATATTTGTGGAGATTTTATGTGGCAATGGAAGTGGACATTTTTAAATAAGTGAGAGTGTTCAGAGGGAAATGTACAAGGGTAGAAAAGAGAGTCATTGCACTCTTTTTGGGTTTGAGATGAGATGGCGGAAGAGCTCTACAGGTTCTTTGTGGTTTTGGCTTGGTCTTCTTGGGTTGGCATAACAGTTCCACAGACTGAGGTGACTTAAACGAGATAAATCTATTTCTCATGGTTATGGAGGCCAGAAGTCCAAAATCAAGGTGCGGACAAGGTGGGTTCCATTCTGAGATGGAATTGGGGGCTCCATTCACGTGTTGAATGACTACACTCTCCTCCTCTTGGCTGGTAGGTGGCCGCCATCTTGCTCCACACTCACGTGGCCCCTTTTTGTGCAGAGAGAGACACGCGGAGAGAGAACATCCTCTCTAGAGTTTCTCCTGATACCTGCACCAATCCCCACATGAGGGTTCCACCCTCTTGACCTCATGTAACCCTCATTACCTTTCCAGGGACCCACCTCCTCAGCCCGTCACACCGGGACTTACAGCTTCAACGTAGGAACTTGGACAGGTCACGAGTTGGTCCGTCCCCCAGCCTGGCTTATGGCCTTGGTTTCCTTCATCCCCCATCTGCTCTCTCTCCCCTGATTCTCTCCTGAGAATCATCACTGCCTGTTTGTAGGGTTTCTTCCTCCTTTGTTTGGTCCCCAAACTAACTTTGAAGTATAAGATGACCTGCGTCTTACACCTGGGCCTTGGTCCACAGATCTGAGAATCTTCATGCCAATCACTTTGAGAAAAGAAAGAGAAGAGCAGACAGAAAAGTTGGAGGGAGTCTTGAAATCTTAAAGGTTCCCGCGATAGACATCCCCAATTCATGTTTCATGACTCCCTTTCTTGATGAAATCCCTGACAGCCTGTTGGTGTAATTATCTTATTCCTAAGATAAGAATGAACAAGTCTCCAGCCCATGGCCCCTCTGCGTGTTCTCCACCGGCTCCGTCATTGTGCGGATGGTTTAAGGTAGATGGTGGATCATTTGTGGATCCTGAAAGCCACTGAGTAATTTGCAGGTGAGCAAGACTCCAAATGAATGTCTTCCACTGAGGGAGTCAGAAAAGGACCCTCCTGGGTCAATGGATTATAGGTATCAAGATGCTGTTTGGCACAGAAGGAATAAATTCTGGTGTTCTGCAGCACAATAGAGTGATCAAAGTTTACAACAACGATTGATCTGTTGCAAAAAGAACTAGAATGAGTCCAGTACAAAGAAATGACAAGTGTTTGAGGAAAAAGAAATGGGAATCACCCTGATTTGATCATTACACGGTGTATACACAACGTGATGATCACACTCTGCCCCATAGATATGTACAATTATGATGTGCCCATTAAAAATGAAAACTAAAAAAATAAAAATAAATTGTATGGTAAAAAAAAAATGAAAACTAAAGGAAGAAGAAATCTAATTGGAATAGATTCTGCAGGCCTAGTCAGGTGTAACACACACCAACAGGGAAGAAAGTGGGAGCATTCGTTAGCACTGAAAAAAATAGCAACCAAGATCCCACAGATCCCGCTCTGACTTTGCTATGCAGAATTGTTTGTAAGAACATAAACACACATTTAAATAATTGCCATTTGTCAGCGTGAATCCCCGGATGATGGAGTAGGAGACGCGTTTCCTCCCAGCAGGCCGAGGCCTTCGTTAATACCTGTGGCGAGGACGGAAGGAAAGCCCGAGTCCTCCTCCCATGATCCATGACGCTGACTTCTTCCAGACATTGGAAAACTTGTCCCTGAGACAGGCAAAGACAGTGGTGTCCAATTACTCACGTTAAAATCGGGAAGCTTTCCATTGCAAGCTCTTTGGGGAGAAAGAATCAAAACACGTGGCAAGCAAAGTTAATAACTTGAAGCCATTCTTATCATGAACTATTCTTAGCAAGTTTTTTTGTGATGTCCACAGCCCAAACAATTAATTTGTCAGTTCAATATGATATTTATATGTAGTTTTGGATTTTTTTAAAGAAGAAAATTCACTCCTGAATTAGAGAAAGCAGAGGAAAAATTATAGGATATCTTTATATCACGATTGATGGACAAGTACATCATACAACTGCAGCTATTCTAGTTTAAAAAAGAAAATCAGTGTTTTACCCTGGAGCACCCTTTCTTCTTAGCTGCATCCCAAAATATTATTTATTATTTTTGCAAAGTAAGGACTTCCTGGACTCGTTTATACCTCAAATGAAAAATTTGACAGTGTAAGATTGTTTAACAGGATAATTTGTGTATTGGCTCCAATGATACTTGAAAGCACAAACTTTGCTACCTGCGGATAAGAGTTGTATGTTAGATAAATATATAAGAGAATGGATTTTTTTGGTAGGACTATTACTGGTTGGTCAGCTTTAGCTAGTGTGTAAAGATTTGTCTTGTACGTGGGTAGTAGTAAGTTAAAGATGATTCAGTGAGTCTTGTTGATCATGGTCGTGGAGACCTATTCAGACCCCTGCAACAGGTAGAAGGGCTTCTCTGGTGGGGTCTCGTAGGAGGGAGGGAAATCAGACTCGATTCTGAACTCTGAGACTCCTGAACAAGTGGGGATCTGCAGCCAAGGAATGGGGTGAGGGTCCATAGGTGGAAAATTACTAAGAGAAAACATCGGGGGTGGGGGATTATGGATAAACCAGCCTAACCAGATTTTGCTGAAAACAGGCCAGGATAACCAGACACCATGTGGAGGAGGTAGCAGATGAGGGATCTGATTAGATACCAAGGTTGCCCAGTGGAGGGGGATTCCAGTTAAATTGACTTACCAGGGTCCGTGCTGAAATGGGACAATGCAGATAGGAACCCAGAAGTCTAAAGTCAAGCCAAGTAGGAAGAGAGTTCAGAGGAACGTGAGCAGGGTAGGCTAATGAGAAGTCCCTGTGATCACATATATATATCATACATATATCTTGCCCTACAGACAACAAGGACCATGATTTTAAATACAAAGAATTAGTCCATATATTAAGTTTAGGTTATATATTTGTATTTTAAATAATGTGCCTTTTTAAAACAAAAAAGCTGTCTGCACAGTGCATACTCAGCCCCTTCTGAGTTTCACATCTGTGATTTGCCATCCTCAGCTGCATTATAGTTTCATTACTAACTGAAGTTCCAGGAGTGCCCGTGTGTGTGCATACTGTGCCCTCAGAGATTCACCCAGAAATGTCATTTCTAAGTCTTGGAGCAATAAGAAAACTGCATTGGGAAATTATGATCTCAACATTTTCAGCCCTTTTGGCATCAGTGGTTTGGGGAACCCTTTGAAGACGGGTCTCCATATCTCGTGCTGACCGTACGTCCAGCACATTCCAAGCTGCAGGCTCATGTCCTTAAAGAGCCTTGAGCATTCAGACCTAGAGGCTGGTTCCCAAAGGTGGGCAGCAGGGTCAGATAGGACCTCCCCTCAGAAGCCTCCTTGGGTAACAGGACAGGAGGAGGCTCACGGTGACAGGTGGAGCTGACACAGGAGTCCTCAGAGAGTGGGTCCTGCATGTCCAGGGCCTGCAGAGCAATTAGCCAGCCATGCTCAGCTCCCTGTGGGGAACAAGCCCAGGGAGTGTCCACTCCTGCCCTGGGAATGCAGACAGACGATCACGTCTTCTCTGAAATACAACAGATAGTGTCTTCCACGTAGTCAGCCGTTAGAGTCTTATCCAAATTCCTGGAAAATGAAGACTGAGTTTATAAGTGGGACTGGCAGAAATAAACTGAGGATACCACTGGATCTTGCTTTTATTTCCTCTTGACAGAAGATCATAAACCACAGGGGTTATCGACAGTCTAACTTCCTTGTATGCTTCTAAAATTTTCGGCATACCTAGGACCCTAGGGAAAGGTCTACTGAGTCTACCATGTGGCCTTGGGAATGGGACTGAGCCGGAACAGATCTGATGGCATGCACAAGGTAGAGCGAGAGGCAGAAGTCAAAGTGAGGTCATGCCTGTGGGCAGTGCAGCAAGGGTGCGTAGCCCAGTGGGAGGGGAACTTGACTTGGTCTGAGAGGTCAGAAGGACATTTTTAAGGGAGAAAGGCTAGAGCTGGAATCTGAGGGAAGGGTAGGAATGAAGAAAATGAGCACTTGAGGCATAAGAAACAGCATGTTACAAGGCCCTGTGGTAGAAAAAAAACAGGGATGAGCAGTCCAGGAAAGCAAGAAAGACTAGTGGCTACAGAGTGAAGAATTGAGAGTGTGGTGTGTGCTGAGTCTAGGAGCTAACCAAAGATGGGGTCCT